TTAGCTGGGCTTCTACCTTACCTCTGTCTTCTAGCTGTTTCCTGGTTCCTGAGGCCAGACTGTTTTTTCTAGCTCTCACAATTGCACTTGTGCACCTAGTTTGGAAGAGAGCCCCTTGCAAAGGAAGTGAAGTGAGTGGCTACCAGGTGGAGAGCCTTTTTGGTTATAGTGCTTGGGTTTTGGAATGAGCTCCCCAAAGAGCAGCACTTGGCACCTACTTTGTATTCTTTTCAGTGCCAGCTGAAGACCTTTTTACGTTCCAGGTATTTTAATTGCTTATCTTTTAAACTTGGTTTTATATGTTCCATTTTAGTCTGTACTGCTGTTGTGTTTCTATGGTGGAATCACAGTAACTGCAATTGCTATTAATACTTTTATTCTTTTAAATTAATGTTTGTGTCTTTGTTAAACGTTTAATTTTAACTTTTGTTAACTGGCTACTGGGTGGTATAAAAATGAAACAAACAAGCAAGCAAACAATAGTTCTGCCAACTACCTTATGGAGGTCCATCTGCTGTTTCAGAGTTGGTGCACTGCACCCCCCAGACTCAAATATCCTCCACCTTTCAACCAAACTTAAGTTTGTAGAGGCTGGCTGGCCTTTTGTACAGCTCCCTCAGGGTATGGTCTTTCTCCCCTCAGGTCAAAGAAGTGGGTGGCGCCCTCAAGCACTTACCCGTTTCTCCAAGAAGTGCATCCCATTCAGGCCAAACCTCTCAGTCCTTTCATGTTGTTACACTCAGCAAATGACTTGGGTTGTTACATTTCTGTAGTACCTGTGGCTGAAACTCTCTGGGTGCTTCACAACATTTTACCCACAATTCACCCATCCAGATCCCAACCAGACCCGACCCTGCTTAGCTTCCAAGATTAGGCAGGATGATGCACTTTAGGCAATACAGAAACTGCATTAGAGGCATTCTGATAATCCCTGGAAAAAGTTCAGAGTTTACGAGTAGCAAAATCATATGAGAAAGATGAGAGAACACAAGAAAACCCACAGAATGGGAACCAGCCCTAGACAAATGCTTGGTAGGAATCATGGGGTCCTGTCAATAGTCTCTCCAGCCAGAAGTGCTCCTGCAATGAGCTGTGCGACTGACACTTGGCTCTGCAGACCAGTGGCAGGTGGGTCAAAGCGAACCCATTCCAAAAAGTGTGAGCATATGGGCAAGATATATGATTTTAATTTCTTTTGAATGGGAAAAGTAAAGGTGCAATCCTGTGAAAGTTTAGATAGAAAATCCTCCAGTTCCTTGCAGGTCCCAGCCAAATCCTGGGAATTTTAGGACTTTTTTCTGGATAAACATGTATAGGACTGTGCCCTTAAACATGGAAAGGAGGAAATGAATAGATTACCAAACTAATTTTGTACAATTGTCAGCACCTGAGATACACCATGCTTTTTCCTACCTAGGGTTACTTCCAGAAGGAAGGTTCCCAGTGCTAATAAACTATTGCTTTCTATTGTAAGACACAAATGAAATTGCAAAGTAACTTTCCACAGTGTCAGGGATATAGGACCTTTTTCTCATCATCATGCAGAGTCCCTCAACACCACTGGATGTGATGGGGGTGCTCTGGGTGGAGAAGCAAAGCTCCAACTCACCTGAGCAACCACTTGAGGAAAAGGACTTCTAGCAATCCTTAAAAAATATATTTCTTTCAAAGCACTTATTTGAGAAGTACGTCCATTACTACTCACAAAATGTAAAAAAAAATCAAATCAATGTATTTAATGTTTGTTTTGAATTAAAATGTAGACTAGAAATCAAGTTGGACTCTGCAGTACTGAGCAAACATGGGGAAATTACCAAGGGATGTCTATATTGTGTGGACACCACCTTTTAGAAGATGAGTGAATGAGACCTGAGGTTTCCACCTGAAATACCTGGTGTGAAAGCGGCACAGGGCTCCACTCATCACTTAATTAGTTCCTGCCTTGTGGGGATGCATCTGGTATGGGAAGATCTGAACACTGACCCAAGAGCTCTCCCATAGCCTTCTGGCATTAACTCCAGTCATGCTGGCATTAGTCATATTAATGCTGAAATAGCAGTCAGTTCTGTTTCCATCATTTCCTGTCCGGGGTGAAGCCTTCCCACCTTGCCCTTTCAAAACCTCTCTTAAGGCAAAATCTCATGCATGTTTAGAAAGAAAAGTCACACAGTTCCCACCATCTTCAGCCAGACATTGCCCATTAGGTATCTCCCATCAGCGCCACTCATTCACCAGGTGCAGATACTAACACTGGCCTGCTTAACAGGGCTGTTTGAAGGACCGTTGAAGTAATGTATGTGAAGCATTTTGAAATATAATACGTACATGCTCACTATTATTCTTTGTTAGTCTCTTTCCCTTCTTAGCACCTGCCGTGCTATATTGGTTGTTAGAATTAGCCATGGCACCATTCCATTCTCTCTTCCCACCTGGCTCTGCCAGGTCTCAGTAAGTGCTTACTGACAGCATAATCAAACACAGCCCATTCTTTTCCATGGCACTCATGAAGGTATGAACAGCACTGTAGTCTGAATCACTGTTATTGCACAAAAACACAATAAACGTGCCAGAAAAAAGACGGACACATGTGACACTCCAAATATAGATTCTTTTAATACCTTTCTTTCCCAGACTTGGCAACCAATGAGGGTTTCTCATAACGGGTGGAGCTAAGAAAGAGCGGGATGGGCGGCACAAACTGCTACCAAAGGAATGGAGCTGACAAAAAGTGCCCTCAATGAGCGGTGGAGGTCTGTGCTCACATTTGCCCGCCTTGCTGGGGTTCCTTCCCACAGGGCCACTTCCCCCCTCCTCTCACACACATTCGTTCCTACCCACCACATCAGGACCCACCATGGGCACCATTCCCCTCCCTGCCAACATGGTGTGAAACAAAAGGACCTAAATTATCCCTTGGGTCCTGGGACTGGGGAAACATGGAAGTTTTACTTTAAAATCCAGAGAGTGGGCAAATGCTTTCAGTGCCATTTCATAGGTTGAATGCCTGGAAGGTCTGTGCCTCATGGGCTGCCACGGTCCATTTGCCAGGCTCCTGTTCTCCACTGAAGAGGTATGGGGTTTTGTCACCAGTCAGTGAGCATCGCCGATCCCTGTCAGGGCCATCCTCCTGCCCAGCACCATTGAGGGAATGGCGTCTCTCAAGCTGCCCTGTGAAGGGCAGGCGTGAGTGGTGTGGACTGCTGAGTGGGGAGGGCACTGGTGTTTCATCAATGAAGGTGGTGATCTCATCACGGAAGAAGCAAGCACTAGAGCCCAGTCCAGTTCCCTGGGCAGCTAGACCAGCTTCCAGGAACTGCCGAAGCGTGGTGAGCTCATCTTCAGGAGGCCGTCTACGATGATGGTAGTTGCGGAGTTCAGGAGGCAGAAGGCCAGAGGCTCCCCCGGGTTTGTGTGGGGCAGCCACTCGGATGTCATCAGATGATGACCACTTGTGAAGGAAGGAAGGAGCAGAGCGGTGGGAGGCGAAGATATTGGTTTCATCGTGGGACATTCTCCGAGAAATAGGGACCTAAAACGTAAGGAGGCATAGAAAGAGACAGGTGCGAATAGAAAGTAAAATGCTTGCCACATTAAAGTATGTCCAGAAACGAAAACTATAAAATTAAAACTACTAAAAAATAGAATAAATGAAAGCAAGAAAACTGACCAACACATCCCAAATTCTTCCCCTATCTTTTCATAACAAGTTCAAGATGACCCATAGCCAGATGTTTTAAGCTGGAGGGCCTTAAACATACATACTGTGAAATGTGTAAAGTTAGTACACTTACTGAATTTTTTAAAGTTAATTCTGATATTCTGAATTTAATTCTTCAACAGTAGCGCCCTACAGTGGTAGACCAGTTTTTAATAACACTTTTTGCTCTGAGAGTTTGTCCCCAACTACTGGGTAAACCTACCTAATTTGGCTTCTATTGGCCTGGTTTCTTTGTTTGCACCTAGTACAGCTTTGTCAATGTAAGAACTGTCTAGATTCCCTCTGAATCCTCTGTCAAAGCAACCTGTGTGTTTCACCCAAGACACAGTCATTTTGGAGTGAAGAGTTGGATTGTATATGTTCAAAATTTTAAGAATCAAACAAATGTAGTGAAACAGTTCAGTTTTAGAGTTAACCAGACAGCTTCTGGTCATTGCATAATCACCCCCATGTGATGGGAATGCTACATGATTTGCCTAATTAGCCTTGCAGTATGCAGGTTATCATGTTGTCCAAACTGGGTAAGGTGTGAGGTGAGGGGTGCCTTCCAAACCATCCCAGGGTCCTACAACAGGAGATTATTTGTATGGGGGTTTGGAAGCCTCCCCTACTACACACCTCACCAGGTCTAGAGGACATGGCAACCCATACACCATGAGGGTAATTAGGTAAATAGCCTGAAGTATGGCTAGCAGACACTGGGTGAGGCAAAGAAGCAGACCTAGTGCCTGTCTTAACTAGAAAACGTGCTTGTAGGTTGAATGTATTACAAGCAGCCTCTGCAAGGTGGGAAGACACAGAACAGGTTCAGCAGCTCTGTTATATACCCGACACTAGAGTGAACATCAACCAATTTTAATATTTGCACACACTGGGGAAAGCAAAACAGGAGGGTGGGGGACAGAGCACTGTTCATCCAATGTGCCACTAAGACACTTTAGAGAGATTGTCACTGGCTGTGAATTCAGTGATCACAAAAACTGAAACTCCAAAACTGAAACTCCGAAAAAGTGGGGAGAGGACTGCAACAGGTGACAGGGAGAAGTAGACAAGCAGGGTTCTGGGAGTTTTCTGGGACGGCCATAGGACAGGGCTTCCCACCCTGGGGTGCCTGCACTACCAGGGGTGCGAGATGCTATTTCAGGGGGTGCAACAAAGAGGAATCATGATGGTTTCACCAAAAATTATCCCAATTATAAAATTACTTATTATTATTTTGTTTGCATTTGGATTCAGTTCTCTTTTGTCAATCAAGACAAAATCTAGGAATTGCCTGGCAGACATGGGGATTGCAATCAGCAAGAAATTTCCACGTTTTGACAAAATCGTGAATGAGAAGCTGGAACAAAGATGTAATTAATTTTTATGTTCACAATTGGGACTGATTTTACCTTTTACCATTTTTTTCCAATTGCTCAGTTTATATTTATGAATGTTATGCACTGAGTTAAAAGCTTTTTTTTTTTTTAGTTCAACTTGTTTACCCGCTGTACCATATGTGGTTCAATTTGGGGTTCAAAAATTATAAATTCAACTACTTTGTCTTCAGATGTGGTATTACTTTTATAGGTGGTGCGAACATAAATCAAACATTTTCTAGGGGTGTGGGGTATATAAAAGGTTGGGAACCATTGCTACGGGAGATCCAAGGGAGAATGAGCCTGGGTTAACCCACCATGAGTCCCAATCCTATGCTGGGCATGGTGTGGGTGACGTTATGGTCAATCCTCACAGTGAGCTTATTTGCTGGATGGGATGCCAGGTCATCTGAACCTGCACAGGTAGTAGTTCTGCCTAGCTCAGCCATTACCACTTAGCTACCTTGTAATCTGGCAGGAGAGGCCTGTGTTTTGCCGACTGCAAACACAAACCTCATTTTTAATAAGGGGAACATGTGACTTCAGCCAGCCAGGATGAAGAGGTGCAACACTCACCAGCATCCTGGCTCTAGGAAAAATGTGATTGTTGGAGGCTCTACTAGAAATGTATCCTATAGCCCTGCCAGCTTTGTGCATAAGTAATTTGGGTTAACTGTCCCTTTTGTTTTCTTGTCAAGTCACTGAAGCCAGGACAGACTCTTCTGAGGAGCTTGTCTTGACAGCACAGAGGGCTCTTTAGTGGGTCACCAGAGCAAATTCCTAGAAGGAAAAGTGAGAGGAAGCCCCCTGAATCAAAGTAAGCAAGCTAAAAACACTAACTGGGTCCCACTTAGGGAAAGTGGGAAATCCACCCAGTTGCATCAAATCAAATTCCCCATCCACCTGCTCCATCAATACTGCCAGTGTCCATTTAGTGAATGCATGTCTAGGCAAGAAACATGTGCGGTAATACTTTTCTACCCATTTGTCTCCCAGTAGCTGTAGGGTGAGTTCTAGGTAAAACCTGACATTGCAATAGCACCTGTTAGAGCCTTAATTGAATATTCTGCAAATCTTTCTTCCCCAATTCCATCCAAGACCGTGATCATGAAGACACTTGGCTTCATCAGGCCACCCCTTCCCCCTGCACAGGTCACCAGTTTCAGTAACATCTTGCCTGATTAAGAGATCTGGAGATGGCTAAAGCCTACTTATCTTTTGATTGGATTAATAAGAGGTGGGATTTTGGATTTTTTTTCCATGGCCAGCACGACTACCTTTTCTATTTGCCTGGCAACAATAGTATTCATCATGTGTACACACACACGCGTGAAAACAGCATATAGTTTGATTTGATGCTTGAAAAAGTACTGTGCAATACTCCTGCATAAGATATGCAAATTGGACTGGACATTATGAAGGCAAAACAGCTATATTTTTGTTATACACTCTCCCCTCAAATGATAGCTGGAGAAAGCTCAAACAGATGGCAGTTTGACATTAAATTGGAAGAACACTGTTCAATATTAATATTACAGGACATATGTGCTGGTTTTCTGTTTACAAATTCAAGGATACAGTTTAGGACTCATATAGAATAATTGTTTCAGTTGATCAGATACTTTAATATTTTGCAGGATCTTTCCTGGGTTACAACCCATTTCATCAGATACTTATATCAGTTCCAAATATAGGATCTGATGAAGTGGGTTGTAACCCAGGAAAACTCCTACTAATTTATTAGAATATCTAACTGAATCGGCCTGTGTATATATCATGCTTCATCCTTGAACTGTTAGCTTTCTTAGACGTTAATATAAGTTTATAAAAACAAAAAAGCCATTTTTTCAGCTTACCAAATCAGGTCAACAAGAGCATTATTAGCATTATGACTTTATGCGCATTTAATTATATTCCTTTTGGCCTTAAGCAGAGACATTTGCTGCTCGCCATGTCTGCAACACATTTGCAGGGTATGTCATCGAATACAGAAACCAGTGCTGAACAATGCTAGTGCCTTGGCTAGAGTGTTGGACTCAGAACAAAGAGCCTCAATTCACTTCCCAAGTTGAGTCAGCCATGAAACTTACTAGGTGAGTTTGGACCAGTTGCTCCTCCCAGCCCAACCTACCTTGTTCTGAAGAGAAAGCCAACTGATGTAACTGTTCTACGAAGTTCCAAATGCAATTAGGGGCATGCGTTCTTTTAGGCCCCAGTGAGATGCAGGACTGCTGCCAACTCAAATTCCTTCCCTGTGCTCTCTTTAGTGAAGATGTCTGAAGTGAAGCAGGGGCAGGGAAACACCGAGCAGGCTAGGGATGTGCATTGGGTTTGCCCAAATCCGGAGCCAGGCTGGGCTGCTTCAGACTGGTTCTCAAGTTTCACAAGGAGAACTAAAGAGACCAAATGGGAACTTAAATCTGAACCCATGCATGAAGCCATGCAATTTGGAAAGCTGCAATTTAATTTCTCTGAAAGCATCCAGGGTGTGGAAAAAAGTGAGAGGAGCGAGAGGAGCAGCAGAACCATCCACCTTCTAACCATATGGCAAGTTTTACCAGGGATCACCAATCACTTTGTTTGAGGGAGGGATTCTCATACTCTCAGCTTCTTGTGTTTGGTTAGGGTCCTTATTAAGTGGTCCCACTACCCGTCTCCCCTTCCTCTTGCTATTTATATACTGATAGAAGCCCTTTTTGTTGCTCTTGATATTCTTTGCAAGTCTCAGCTCATAATCAGCCTTGAGTGTTTGTACCTTGTGCTGGGCAACCGAGACAGATTAGGGATTCTGCTGGTGTACCACCAACCACGCTGCCCATGAGACTGCCTGTCTGAGCTCTTGGAGGTAGTCTCGGACTTGATGTTGAGGACCTCAATCTCCATGTCGAGGCTGCATTGTTCAAGGAGGCTCAGTACTTCATGGCCACCATGACAACCATAGGGCTGTCTCAACATGTCACTGACCCAACACACATAAAAAGTTCACATTCTGGACCTGGGCTTTCTTGACTGGTGATCAGACAGTGGAGGCTGGTGGCTAACATCAGTTCCCTCATCATGGTCAGATCACTTCCTTGTGAGGTTTGGACTTTTGGCCCCTTTTCGCCTCCACTTGATTCCTGTCAATTAGGAAAAGCTTCAAAATTGATTGGCTTCGCATGGCTCCTCTCTAGTAGCAAAACCTTTGAACTATGCATGACTCCTTTGTCCTTTGCAAACTAATCCTTCTTTTCTGCAGTGTTCCTTAAACCTTACAATGTACCTCTCATCCTAGCATCCTGCCCTATTTTAGTTGTTCTTGCTTCTTAGTCTATGTTACAACCTCTTCATTGTGCACAATTCAGGGTGCAATTATATGGCCTCCTGACATTGTCTGGGAGGCCTTAGAATTATTTGGAGCCACAGCTCTGAGGTCCAGCAACCCCCTTGCCCATCCCCCGCAAAGCTGACACAGAGAAAACTGCAGTACATCGGCTCTGCATTGCAGAATATGTTGGTTTTGCGTGGCTCCCAGCACTAGCAAAGTAGAACATTAAAATACGTTGGCTTTGCATGACTGTGGCTCAAAAAATACAACCTAAGACTTGCAACATTCTCGCCTTGCTGTGGAATTACAGTCAGAGCCTGTCAGATTGGATTGCCTCAGAAGAGGTAACTATGCTGGCAGTTCTTCTGAAAATGAAAAAAGTTAGTGGCAGGTACATTAAAAAAGTCTACAGAGCTTATGAGAAAACCTACTACAGGCAGCCTTTATTCCTTTATCAGGGTCTTCAAAAGTACAAATTCTATCCCATTCTGTCCAAGAGACAAATTATACTTGTTTGAGAATTTTCCACAATAGTCAATGGAAGGCATGATTCTTTGATTTCCATGTTTCAGTTTTGGGCTCCTACCTGAACTGGGAAGCCTTCAATTTGGTCCACTTCTAATTGAGCCATTTTCTGAATCAAGGCCTGAACTGAATCTTGTGGTTCATGCATTCCCCTGCAGATTAGGGTGATGAAATACCATGCATCTTCCTACAGGAGACATTAATGAGGAGATGGGAGGGGACCAGCTGGTGGCAGCCAGATGTCCCCTATAACATCTAGCTTGGATTTATCCGTATAGCTTGGCTAAATCCTAAATTCTCTCTCTTCACTTTGAGGAAAGGGCATAGCTTAGTGGTATATATGCACAAGCAGCATATGAAGAAGCTCTCGAGTTTAGCCCACTGGAATTATTAGTTTGAAGAATCTCAAGAAACAGAGCTAGGGAACGGCTTCCACCTATAATAGACAGGCTGATTTCATATAGGGCAGCAATGCATGCTTGTACATACAAATTCATAGGTTCCAGGTGTTGGTAGGTATGGCCAGGATGTGTTTCAGGCCAGCGACAAGATCCTCCCAGAGCAGATTTCAGGAGAGCAGACAGCTTACCTGTAGGTAGTGCACCCGGTCATGGGGCAACAGCATGTGATGCACTGGAAGCAGTTTGGCATCCCGGGGATCCCGCTTCAGAGCTGCAGCTCCATTGGCATCGAATCGCACCTTGCAGATCCTCCCGTCGCCATAGTCATCACCAGTGCCATCTAGAGGATGACAGGGAGTCAATATTTTCTTCCCTCACTCCCATTTCTCTTTTGTCCACCCACCCTACACAGACAAAGGGCAGAAATGATGGCACCCAGACTCCAGTGCTTTTAGGCAGATCTTGTGTATATTTGGGCTGGTTTTCACCACAGCTTGACATCTGTTACTGTGAGAGTGTAGTGAACTGGTCCGGCAAATAAAATGCCCAGCAATGTTGGCTTGCTTGTAATCTTGGCTTATACAGTGAATGCAATGAGCAGTTTACCTGTATGAACACTACAAGTAGGGCTGCACAGATGTGTCCATGGCATAATGGTTGTGTGAATCAGCTGTTTTATTGCTTGGTGTTTTTAAAGGAAACGCCAGAGAGGTTTCAGGGAGGGATGCTCCAGCCATGGGGTATGTTGTCCAGGAGCACGGCGATGGGCAGACAGATACACTGGATTTTGTCCAACTCCATGATTCTGTTTATGAAAGTCTAAATGAACACAGCCTTAGGATGCTGGTTATACGCTGCATTTCCACTGTGGCCAGTGTGAGAAGGGCCAGCTGTGGAGGAAGCCTAAAGGCAAGCACCATGCCATCTCCAAACTGCACGTACTATTCAACGGGGCTACACCCATTTTGTGTTGTTGTTGGGAAGCTATTATTGTTGTAAGATGATGGGAAAAGTATAAGCAAATCCATAGTCATCTTCTGCCTGAAGAAAGGCAAAGCCCTGATGCATAAGCATATGGGCAAAACTGATATCTGATGGGGCTTTTGATCAGCTGTAATGAAACAGGTGAAACAGGGCTCACGTCTGCGACTGCTATTAGAATCTTACATCAGGCTTCACCTTCACTTTAATATTAGTTAATGGTGACCCACTCACCGCCTTCCTCTCCTGAGTGATCAGTTGAGAGGTCAGCTGATTATCTTCTCATCAGTTAGCTAATGCCTACTACTCTATTTCAGTAAAATGTGGCAATATATTTTAGCAAGCATGGAATGCCATGCTCCAGGCAGCTGGCTTCTTTACTGTATCTTTATGCAGATGTTAGTGGGCTGCATGTCTGGCTTCAGCCTGCCCTTCTCCTGAGCATTTGGAGTACACTTCCCCAAGGCATTCTTCTGTTCAGGCTCAATTGAAGGAAATGGGTGCTGCACAAAAAGGCAGAAATGTTCCTGCTAAGCTCCTTTAATTTCAGCAGAAGAAGTTCCAAGGGAAGATGCTCATAAATACCAGATGTTCTTTGCCTGTTTTATCTGCATGCTGCTTTTAGTGGCATTTAACCTGCTTACTGCTTTTAATATAATGCTATGTTGTTTGAAGTGCTATTAATGCTATCATCATAAATGAACTCTGTTTTATCTAAGGGCTAAAGTGCATTTGACATCGATTTGTTTTTTTGTTTTTTTAGGTGTGACATCAGACTTTTTTTTAAAGGTAAATGCAGTACTGGGAGGAACATTTGGAATTTGTATGATTTCCCCTGTGGAATAAATGGCAATTCTTGGGATGATTAAATTTAGGAAAATGATGCCAGGAGGATTAACTCCCCTCTCCACCCGCAAACCAATTCACACATTTGATTCTGCCTGTATTTATCTTTAAAACAAAAACAAAACCCTTGTCAGATCGATGTCTGGGTCAGAGCTGGTTTGATTCTGATCCCAGATGCTCATCCCACAAAACATTATCCAAACTGTTCTTGCTTCAAGACTGTTGATTCTGCACCCCCTCCTCTTCTGTACAACTCACAGAGAAGGGGTAGAGAATCTCTTTCATGCTGAGCACTGAACCCAATTTTGGAGAAGTCCAAAACTGATGTTCACATTCAAATGTTTACTAGGGTTGGGGCACAGCCCCAAACTGTGAGACCCCAGAACCAGCCTGGTACCCTGGGCCTAAGGATTCCCCCTCCCTCCAGTCCTGGAGGGAACAGGGGTGAGAGGGGCTCACCATCATCCCCATCCTCCTCAGACATGATCGCCACACACTGTTCCCACACAGTGCGGACATCAGCCCGGTAACGTTCACAGGACCAGATGAAGGACGGAAGTAACAGCGTCTGCACCATGGAGCACCAGAGCACCGCCAGAACCATCCAGGTGGGGGCACTGTCAGAGCGCAAGCTGAAGAAACTCACCACCTAGAAAGAGGGAGCCAAGGAGGAGAAAGCTGGCATGAGTGACATCCCACCATTAGGGTGCCAATGCACAGCAAGTCTGACAGCAGCTTTTTTTGCAGGATGGAAAGAGGGATTGCTACTCATGATACCCAATTCACTGGTTTTGCAAGTTTTAGGCCCTTTCATGATCCTGTCAGACTAGCTTGATCAGTGGCAACAGTGAGATAAAATAAATATATCAATGCACCTGCCTTGTCTCCTGTCCAAGTACTACCAGCAATAGAAAAACATTTATGTGATTGTTTGCTTTTGCCCTGTGTGAGGAATAGGACACACAATGGACATTACATTCTAAACTGTGGCAGGAGTTCATACCAAACCAGTCATTTGACTAACTCACCATTTGCTGAAGCTGGAATTGTGCATGTCAGCACATGCGCTTGCAAAAGTTAAGCTTCTGCTTCTGGCAAGGGTCAGATAACCTAATTCACTGCAAACATATACTGCAGCATTTTTGTTCATTTTTATGATTGATGCTTATATTTGTTCAGGTATAACAAATACTTCTATACTCTCTGCCCCTGGAAGACACATTTAGGAGGACAAACATCCCATCAGCAATGTGAGCTCTGATTGAAACTGACAATGGCAGCAATTTCTCTTCTTGCCACCTTCAACAGACCCGCCCTCTCTTATTCCCTCCACCTCAGAAGATCCAGAGCTTCATTTGGTGAAAAGGGGCCTGAGAGACCATTGTATGAAATGTAAACTGCTTTGAAAAATCCTGTGGAAAAGGCTTGAAGCTTTAGAAACTGGGTAAAGTGCTCTCTATGTGCCTTTCTCATGCATGTCAGATTTTCTGGAAATGTGACGGTGAAGATCAAACACTGGGAACAAACATGGGAAATCTAATGCTTTACCATTATTTTAGGATGCTAATTTTAAAAACTCATGTTGAAACTGTTAGCTGTCTGTGTGCATGCATGTGTGCACAAGTGCATCCATGTGTATTGCAGGGGTGGACAGACTTAGGCAAACCTGAAATTAGGTGAAAAATAGCAGATTTAGACTTAGAAGTCTAAAGATTTTAAGAATTGGGATGCTTTTTTGTTTCAGTGCTAAAACTAAGTTCACAGTTCTCACCTACAAAACTCCACACTCACTTTTATTCATTTTAGCATCCTAATTTAGCACAAGGGAAGGCTTATGGTTGTTACCATTGTTAAACAATTAGGATTCAGAAACCTTTGTTGATCTACCATAAATTACCTAGAGATCTACCAGTAGATCTTGAACTACGGCCTGCACACCTCTGGGGTATACACCCAGGTAAAGCCACCCAGGTCCATTCAATCATGTTCCATTGAAACAATTTTTAACAATCAATTTCACAATGAGACTTTACATATGAAGGGCCAAGCTATGAAAATAAGTGATCATCAATTTCTCCCTTAACTTCTGTGGAACCAAGTAAATAGGCAGAACTCTGGAACTCAGTTCAGGGGGGACCAAAATGTTTTCTTGCCTGTAAAACTGATTATTGCTGAGGTAAGTTTAGCACCCTTCGCACCTCTTGAATTGCTCCCTTTGGACAAAATAAAGTGCTGCAGTTGGGGACACAGCTGTGGTTAAGGCACCTGCCTGACGTCAGGTGAACTGCTCTGGCTGACAAATATTCCATAGGATCTTTCACCACAGCTCTCTCCCACTGCACTGTTCTTTGCGATATACAGAACTTTCCACCATATATGGACTGCATTTTGTTAATGTATAACAACAGATCCATTTTGGAAGGTAACTGCAGCACATGGGACCTGCTTGATATACTAGGTCCAATAGCTGGACCTGGGGACACTATGACTGTGTGTGACAGGTGTGAAGTCATTGAAGCATGTAAATTAAGCAGTGCCAAAACAGACAGGCATCAAAACTTAAAGAAGCTGAACAAGTGGGGAAATGGTGCAGGTACCCAATTTACAATCTACCAGAATCTTGGGTTGCCAAATCTGTTATTTTAATTTGACTTTAATTCTGATATTAAAGAATATCGAAGTCCATGTCTGAGAATAGATCTCTGTATCACAGCTCTATCTGCACACATGCACAGCTTTCTTAAAATGATTGTGATCTCCCAATCTTAACAGGAACTGAGACATCAGCTCAGAGATTAGGCGCTTTAGAAGTCATTCAGAAAAGCATTTGAATGTAACCTGAATCTGGAAAGAGTTAATAGTTTTATTCACTCTTACAGGTGGTATGACAGAGTCATTCTTGTTTATGGTGCATGTGCTTTTATATATATCTGCACAGTTTTGTACATTGCTGTGGTGCTTCAAATCCCACAAAAAAACATTTGATCAGCAAAAATGGTGGGGCACAGGGAGTGTGTAGATACGTCAGGGGCAGGAAACCATTGTTGCAACAGTAAGTCTTAGAGATAACCTTGCACTAGAGATGCAGAAGTTTTCATTTGGCCTGCATTTCAAAGCAAACCAAAGTGAGTGCCAGTGTGATGTTATGCTTAGTGCTGGAGTGGGACTTAGGAAAGATGGGTTTTAGTTGCCAATTGACCATGAAGCTCACTTGATGACTTTGGGCCAGTCACTGACTCTGAGCCCAACTGACCTCAACACATTATTGCAATGACAAAAATACAGGGGAAGAGGAAGATCATGTAAGCCACCTTAAATATACCGTTCAGGAAAAAAGGCAGAAAGTAAATATAATAAACAGCTATGTCTCCTCATATAGTCTGCCAGCCTCTTAAGCCCTGTGGTTCTTCAAGCCACCCTTCGAACAGCCTATTTCCCCTTGTTCTTTAACAACCGTTGGGCTAACATCTACATGTCCTCCCCACTGAGCTCTAATTGGCGGCTCTCTAGGTCCTTACACAAACTCCCAAAGGGCTGGAAAACGAAGGAGTAGGTGGTCTTCCTTACCAAAATGGGCACCCCCGTCAGTGAGTCATACAGGAAAACGATGGCGCTGATGAGGTTGGTCATCTGCATGGAGGTCTTGGCAGATTCCGAACCATCCAGAGACGATCGCCTTTTTCCTCTAACATCCTCTACCACAATGGCTGGCACATTGAAGGTGTTGTGAGCTGAAGAGCAGGAAGAGGATGCGTCTTCTCTTGTCTGGTGATGGCATCGGTGGTGCCTGCGGTGTGCCCACAAGGTCTGGTAGAAAGTGATGGCCACACACACCAAGCCCATGACAATGCCCCCAAGGAGAAGCAAGCTGAAGCATACGCCAAAACCCAGACCTATCTTGCTGACAATGAACTGGCAGCCACTGGCGTAGTACCGTTCCCCATTGTTGTGCCAGCCGATGGAGGGCAATGTCGAGAGAATGAAGGACACCATCCAAATGCCCATCACAGCGTGCAGGGCCTGCTTCTTGGCGTTGCTCAGGCGGTAGTTGACAGGCCACCTCACCATCCACATACGGTGATAAGACAAGGAAGCGACCGTGAAGCATGTGGCCAAGGCCAGCGTATAGTAGGTAGAGACAAAGACCTTGCAAATGCTCTCGTTCCAGTCGTAGTCAGAAGACTCACGCCGCAACTGCACCACGGCATAGGTGGTCAGTGGCACGGCAGCCATGAGGATGTGTGTCCCTGCCAGGAAGCAAAGCAGCAGCTCCAGGGGCTTGTGTTTCTGCTGCTTGGCTGTGATGCTCAGGATGATCCAGGAGTTGGCCAGAAGGGCGAGGAGCCCACAAGCCAGCCACCACAGCGAATTATTGTGCAGGGTAGCCTTTGATAGTTCCTCCATGGGGCTGCTGCCTCCCCCACGATTCATTGTGCTGCCTTCTCTCAGGCTTTGGAAGCAGATAAAGGTCATGCACGGGATCCTCGGAAAGTAGTCGGTGGTTGCTCCCTCCCGTACTTCCCAAAGGAAATAGGAGAGAGATGCAGGAAAAAACCTCTGTGGTGTATTGCCATGAGGAAGATGCACTACCTTAATCTAGTCCTCATTGTTTCCTCTTACTCCCCCTTTCACTGGTTCCTTCCCTCTCACTCTTCTGAGCCATACTTTTTAAAATTTCCCTTCCTTTGTTTTCTTTGATGACTTTTAAAAAATATATTTTATTCCAGAAAAGAATAATTTGTACAGAACATACAAAAAATTAAACAGAAAGCAACTTATGCACCATCTATCAGCTCCCTCCCTGTCTTTTACAGTCATCTAATAGGATCCTGCTTTATTTTTATGGAAAGTTAGTTTCTACAGTGGGCAGCAGGATCCTTACATCTCTCTACTGCTATGAGCCTGATATTATTGAACTATCTCCCTGAGGATGTTACCTTATACAAATCCCTCCTGGATTTTCAGATTAAATGTGAGACCCCTTCTTCATTGGCCTTTGGACAATATATGTTGGGTCTGCTACTCTATGTGATTACTAATTTCCTGGTGATTCAAAGGGTATCTGTTGATGAGGGTGGATTAGGGTTAGGGTCTGTATTTGTGCTGCCAGGTTTTGTGGGGGATTGTATCGTTGTGCTACTAACTTTCTAAGCTTAGTAACATAATGTTTGGATTTGTTTTATACTTGTATTTTATATTATTGCTATTGCAATTAGTTTTTTAAAAGTCTGCCTCAAGCATGGAGAAGCAGGTATATATCTTTAAAATTATAACTTTTTAAAGAAAAAACAAGGTGAAGTAGAGGTGGAAATATCTTCCTTTACTGTTACCACCTCTCTTCCTATTGCTTTCTTCCTTTTTCTCTCTGCTTCAAAAATTACTACTTTCTTGTAACAACCCACTCTGCTTTGCCTCTCCTTTGAATAAAGGGAAAAGGGGAAGGTTCTCAGGAGAGGTGCGAACTGGCAACAGAATGAAAGCTTTGCTTCTCACAGGGCATTGCTAGGCTTCTATCACCGAGCTCCTGAGCTGCTCTTCAGAGTTTAAGGAGATCAACGTCCTTTGTTTTTCTGCCAACCCCCTGGACTCACTGTCCCCCAGAACCTTCACCTCTGATTAGGAATCTGTAGATAGCCAATCAGCAACTGCATGAAGGATTAATTCTTTTTCCAGAGTCCCTTGGTAATTCAGGGCTTAGAGAACCTTTCTTACTGTAGAAAGAAAAAAAGAAAAGAAAACATAAGAAACAGCTCTATCTTTTCCAGCCTTCTCCCCTTGTAGCCCCCAACTCACAGAAGTAATTCCAGTCCTCCAACCCCCATAACAGTTAGCTTGTTGCACCACACCACTGGCCCAGTGTGCATAACACAGCCTGCTCTTTTGCACCCCAGGAAGGACCAGGAAAGAGGGTTTAGACAGCTAAACAGCGAGGTGAAGGATTGCAGTTTCCATTTTGGCAAGTGCCTCTGTACCTCCTTCGCTTCTAACCATGCCCCTCTGCTCTGCCCTGCTGCTGGAGGCAATCCTGCCATGAAGCAAATGCATCACTGCCTCAGGCAACACACTTCATGCACTCATAGGGGAAACAGTGTGGAAGACACACGATTCTGGCACAGAGGATGCAGTTCACTGGGACATTCCCCTGTGCAAGTGCCATGGTTGAGAACACAAGTATCTCTTAGGTCAGTGAGGCTTAGGCAGGGTAATTCTCCTGCTGAAGTGTGTCCCATGCTAAGAAGGGGATATGCAGAAAGCGGGATCATTTGGACTTTCTTCCTTGCACACCAAATTTCTTAGCTTAGCAGATCATGACACTTCCTTAACAAGAACTAAAGTGTTTTGCAGCAGCCTTCCCCAAACTGGTGCATTCTGGATAGGGCTAAACAACAGAAGCCTGTGCTGTTACAGTCTAAAGATTCCCGGCCATCCATTCTTGGTCCTCGTGTGCTGTTTCAAGGCCTGAGCTCCACCATGGCTCTGCTACTGCTCCTCAGTCTTGCCTTGCAGCTCCCCATTGCTCTTGCAGACCTGGATTCCTCACTGAGTCCTGCCAGTGGCCTCCTAATCTCAGAGATCCCTGCTGCAGTCTTGCCTCACTGCATCCAACTCGGCTGATAAAGCTCCCTCCATCCTGGCCCAGGCCTTCTCATTTGCCCAGAGTTGGCTGGAGACTGATTGGAAAAGATTCTTCAGCAGTCTGTACAATACTTTTAGAGCTAAATATCACTTAGGAGTCTGGCTGCAGGGGGAGAAGATTGGGCAGGGAAAAATATAATCCCAGGAACACCTGCTAAACAAGTACCTTATACAAAAAAAGGCAGAAAGGAAAAACTAATTGCTGCAACGCCATTCTGTTTCCTCTGAGACATGTGGCAATTCCACCTCCAGCCCATGTATGCAAATACACATCAGCAACAACTCATGATCAGCAGTATCAAAGGCTGATGAAAGGTCCGCTGCCTTAAATACGTCTTCCTGACTCTGACTGCTAACTCTGTCTGGAATCCTGCCTGCCTGTGACTGAGGGTTTTCTGTACAGACATTGGCCTGTCAAACTCGGGCAGGCATTGCTGCCTATTGCAAAAGTGATTTTTTGGCCTAAGATTCCTAGCTTTTGCAGGTTTTTAAAATGCTTCAGCATCATGGCACATTTAAGAATCTACAAAAAGGCCTGTGTGTCAGACATGCCAACACTACTTGACACCCACCAGCCTCACCTAGATCTGTTGATGCCACTTCTGATACCTGCTAGTCCAAATGGGATCAGCACAGCCCAAAATAAGGATTGCACTAAATGCAGCACTAGTTGATCACACTTTCTTGCATACCTTTTCCACAGCTTACGGTCAAGCCTCATAGCACTAAAACAGCTTTGGACAAGCTGCTGTCTGGATACGCCCTACTCTTGGCTACCATCTCCTGTTTTTTATACCTTGCGGCGTGGGTTTGAATGGTGCCTGGTTCTCAGCAAGCCTTTTGCTGGCAGATTACCACTCCACGCCATACTTCCTGTTAAATGCCACCTCCCACCATCCTAGTCGTCTTTCCAGATGGGAAGTTCTTCCTGACTAGGGAAACAAGTTAACTCACAGGCTTGTGACTGAAGGGAAAGAGGCAGAGACGGGGAGAAAGGAGGGGGGACAAGATGGCCCAGAAATGTATCAGCACGAGATGCTAGGCTGACATTGAGGATGCCTGACAGAGTTGGGCCTGAGGCCCTCCGGCTGCTGCAGATGCTTCCCAGGGCTCAGGGGAGAGGGGGGCGCACGAAGGAGGGCGCAGGCGGCCCCACTACCCCCACATCCCCACCAGTTCTTTGGCCTTCAGCTCACGCGAGCGGCAACTGGCGGGGGCCCCGCAGAGTTAGTTCCACGGTTATTGAGGAGGGGGCAGGACTGGGGGGAGAGGCGGCGAGGGGGACGGGAACTGAGGGAGCGGGGAGAGAACAGCGCGGATCTCCCTCGCGCTTTCCTGCAGAGGTGGGGCAAGAAGGGACGTGGGAGCAGGGCGGCCGGCAGCCAGCGGCGGCGCCCGTGGCCCCATGCGCCCACGGGGAGGACGCGGCGGGGAGCGCGGGGCCCCAGGCCCTTGCTCAGGCGGGCGGGCAAGGGCCTGGGACCCCCTGAGAGAAGGCGCAGCGGCCCCTGAGCCGCCCTGGCTGAGGCTCTGCTCAAAGCGAGCGACCAGGAAGCCGGAGAGGGGGCGAAGCGAGCCGCGACGGAACGCCAGGCGAGCCGGAGCAGGCGAGCGCTCCGTGGACGGCCGCGCGAGCCGAGGCCGCCGCCAGCAGCAGCCCCTTGGCGCGCTCGGCCTCGGCCCCGGCCCCGGCCCCGGCCCCGGAGGGAGGGCGCCGAGCGAGAGGACCCATCTTACCTCTTGCCACCGCTGCCGCTGCCGCTGCCATGGCGACCGGAGCATCCTCGGCGGCGGCGGCTGCCGCTGCTGCTGCTAGCGCCGGCGGGTGGGAGCGTGCGTGCGCGTCTGCCTGCCCGCCCGCGGGAGCGGCTGCCTCGCTTGCCCTGCCCGCCGCTTGCCGCTGCCCGCATCCCACCCAAAGCAGGAGCGAGGGCAACAGACCAGGGTGGGAGAGGGAGCCCGCGGGGTCCGTGGAGAGGCGGCGGGCGAGCAGGGCTGGCGCAGCGCGCGTCTGGCTGGGAATCTCCTCCGGCGACGCAAGAGGAGGAGGAGACCGAGGAGGGCGCCCCGTCACGGGCGGCGGCGGCGGCTCGATTCAATGGCTGCGGCCCCGGCCCGGCCGCCTCTGTTGCTGCGCGCGTGTCCGCTACTCTGGGCGCGCCCCTGCCCGCATGCGTCTTCCCTAGGGAGATGGCGGCACCAGTGCCACTCCGGGCCGCTGGGGGGTTCGCGTCCCTCCCGGCGGGAAGCGTGGGGGAGGAGCGGGAGGAGACGCGCCGTCCATGCGCGGCCGCTTTCGCGGGGACCAGGCGGGATGGCGCCGCCCGTTGCGGGCTGCTCCGGGCAACAGGTGTGCCGGGAGGCTGCAGCCTGGGACGGCGAACGGGGCAGCTGCGGTCTCGTGTGGAACAGGGAGCACGCAGGTGAACGTTACGGGAGGGGGAGGGTCTTGGAGAGCCGGGCCGTGGGACTGAAATTAGGGGTGTTAGTGGATGGGCCACTTTTTTGGTTTATACGTACGACCCCGTAGGTGTATAAGGACGTTGTAAAAGGAAAATCGCCTCGGATGCTTTCCCCTGAAGGGCGAAACTCAACTTGGAGAGAGCAGTTTTGACTGGGAAAAGCGGAAAAGGGGTAAGCGCTCGCGCGCTACTCTGTGGCGCCCGTCGCAGCCCCTGCCCCGTTTTTCAGTTTTGTAAAAACCTTTTCTTGTGTCACCTGCGTACGATCCTGTCAAACAGGAGGGGGAGTTGCAGCGATGTGCGCCATACATTCTCCAGGAGCCAGGATTGGCT